GAAGAATGGACAGAGGAACTTGACAAAGACGAGGGTTTTGAGGCACCTGATGAAGGCGGATACATGGAGGAGGCTGGCGACAACGACGACGCATCTGAGGCACCTGATGACAGCGGATACATTGAGGAGGCTGGCGACAACGACGACGCATCTGAGGAACCTGAGGCACCTGATGAGACAGGTTTAGCCGAGGACAAAGACGAAGCGGATGTCATTGCCAGTGATGCAGCTGAATGTGAAAAAGATTCTGATGACGTCGCGGAGTTGGTTGAGGATTCTGACGATACATGCGAATCTGTCGAAGAAACAGATGACAAGTGTGGGACTGACGACAGAGCTGGAGATGTCTGTGAAGCTGAGCTCATTGACGATGCCTTTGAGGAAATTGACGATAAAGGATAATCTGAGGACCCAGAAGAAGACGACACTTTTGAGGCTGCGTAAACTTGCAAGGCTGATAAAGAGCTGGAAGAAGTATGTAATACTTCTGAAAATTTTTCAGACCCCTTATAAATCGGAGGAACTGAAGAAAAAGAATGATATGAGTCAGATGATGATAGAGGGGTTGCTTCCGAAGAGAATGAAGACATCGTCAAATCTGTCATGAAATTGGACGACACAAGCGATACCTCTGAAGAACCAGCTGAAAAATCCAGGACGGGCAACACTTTTGAATCTAAACTTGAAGCTGGTGACAGGAAAGGTAATGATTTTGAAGATTTCTGTGACACAGTTCCGGCGGATGACAGGTCATAGGATACTAAAGATGTTCTTGTTGAGATGGAGATCACACTACTTGTCAAACCTTTCAACAGAGTGGATGAAGCCAATGGAGTAGTAGCCGTTGGGGCAACAGGAAAATTTGTAGGGCATTTGCACATGTATGGTGGCTTGTTTGGATTCTGCTCTCCAAGAGTGAATCTGGTGCCAAAAGTGGTCGATGAACCCTCAAAATCTGTGAAGCTGTACCCTGGCCCAATTTCAAAAACAACACGTGGCTTTTCCCTAAACTCGAGCAGAAGCATACCAGTTACTGAAGAGTACCTGTATAGGTTAAAAGAATCAAAAGGGAAATCAATGTCTATTGTGTTCCCCATCCCAAAGCCTGCAAGTTTAATAACAGGCACAAAGGACAAAGAAGACAGTAATCCATTCACTCGCAACGCTGAGTCAGAAGAATGTAAACAGATAGTCTGACTTGGACTCACAGCGCAGTCCGGAAATTTTATCTCGAATGTTGAGCCAGATCCCACTGAAATACAACCATCCCCCTCAATACGCGTAAATGATGTCCACAAAAGATTTAAAAAGCAAATAGTTCCTTCATTTGTAATACTATCAACCCCATGTTGATCTTGGAACTTTCCAACCTCAATCCTAGTAGGTTTTCCTGAAAATTTATGGAAAATCATATGTCCGACATTTACCCACGATTTCACAGATGTGACAGATGTATCTGATGGCTCAGAAGAAGTTCCAGAGATACCAAAAAACATTGTTCCTTTATTGAGGAAATGACTGTGAGATTCAATTTTATAGATGGGAGAGTTAGAGTTCAAGTCAAGCATTCCATTATTTTCAAAGTATCCTTCGAAGTGAACTGGAGTTTCTAAACCTTCTGTAGTTGTGACGTAAAAATCGCCAAAATTGGTAAAACTTTCTTTTACAGTCACACTGAGACTATTGACAATCGAATAATATACTCCTTCCAGAATGATTGCATTGCTTTGATATATTGCACCCAGGTACATCTCAATAGCGCTTTGGCTGACAGTCACTGCATATATCACACTAAAGAGTAGCGAGAAAAATGCTGCACGAACAGTTATATTCATAGTGTTGCACTTAGCGAGAGGCAGATGCTAATTTAAAAAAAAATAAGGCCTCACAGATATAGCGTTGAAGAAATAATAAACTTGAAGGCCGTCAGCTGCTATTCCAGACTATATGTCTCAGATAAGCGCGTGAAAGAGGCTTTAAGTGAATTCCTAATAAAAATTCTTGTATTTTTTCTCTTATAAGTCATGGATGAGAATGGGCACCTATATATATTGAGAGCGTCTGCGTTGAAAAGTCATCTTACAGACCCTACGACTTTCCAAAAAGAAGGAGATTTCAGGCAATATTTGCTCATAGTAAAGAAATTAACGCTTCTTTTTTCAATGATAATAACCCTTTAGGTAAATACAGCGTATGGACCACCAAAAAGCAACCAATCATATATTATGTAAGATACAGAAGCAAAAAGCGTAAAAATGAGTACGCTTTTGAATTTTGCTAGTAAATTTCCCACAAAGTCGCATTTTCAGTTTGGAAGCAGTTCAAAATGTGACTGTATGTTATCACAATGCTTACCAGCTTGCTTATCAGCAACTACATGTTCAGTATATAAAAAAAGAAGGTTCAATTTCTTGAGTCGAAAGCTGATTTCTTGGGATACGGTATTTCGAGCTTAATTATACAGGAAAAAAAAAACTTGTGTAAGAGCCAATGATACATTGTAGAGCTAGGCCCCATAAAAAGAAATATGCTTTGGTGTAATGTTTTGACTTACTTCCTCAAGATATTGCTCACATCTTCCAAGTAGCTGCACTTTACACAATTTTGAAAGTTAAATTAGGCAACTGGTCCGATGAGTGTGTATAAAAGTAGTGGCCTAGGTCCATCGACCTGCATATTAAAATGCACATGAAAGAACTCTCATGGCCATTGTTAGAACTCTCATGGCCATTGTTAGAACTTCACGGGACATAAGGGTTCTGGATGACTGCTTGATCACTGGTCTCTCTAGAACTCCCCAGGAGTTCAATTACGCCTTTATGTACTCTATCTTTATGCCACGTGAATAGAACCCTAAAACTCGAAATAATATCCTATGAGTTGTTCAAAATGAAATCCGACGGAACTCACAGTAATGGATGCCATAAATGCGCTTACATGGGCCTTTAGTATCAAGCTGATACCAGGGACCTTATAATACGTTAAGAAATACGTACCGTACTGAAAACAATTGACGAGTTGATTGTGAAAGGACGAGGCTCCTCACTCAGAATCCTTAAGTTTTACAGCGATACTTGAACACAATATATATTAAAAGTTTCAGCTAAACCGCTGGCGAAAAATGCAATGAGCGATTCGTCTCCCAAGTGGCAGACACCATATAAATGCATATGAACCATCACTTGGAAAAGAATCTCGAAGAATAAGCGTACTAATCGAAACGCTAGCACGATGAAAAGAAAGGTATATCTAAAGAAGGAAGGCGAGCAAAGGAACAATAAACAAGCTCAGAACCATGGATTTAGTAGCTGCCTTGCCTTCCAAAGTCGAAATCGATGATGCTTGGGGTACGTTGATCGTGCCAGATCCAGCGGCACTGCTAGATGCAGATGTGTACTGACTAGCAGCAGCACCTGAATCACAATTGACACACATAGTCAGTGTAAAGGTCATCGTTGACACAACGGAAGAATCAAATTGATCAACAACTGTAGTCTCTGAGACAAAAACTTCTGTTGTATAAGTTGCTCCAACTGAACCACCCATGACTTCGGTAGGCGAAACCGTGGTCTCGGGAACGGCAACGCACACTCCATCTTGATCACAAGAAGTAATCATAGTAGACGTCCTGCTGGTGATGAAGCTACTTGGGCGCTCAGACAGAAGTTTACTGTCGGGATGAGAAACAACACCACTCAGAGCAAAAGACGTGGCTGTGGTCAAAGAACCCGCAGAATCAGTGGTAACAATCAACACACCGCAATCAGTCACAATGGAGCCATCATACTTGGTGGTGGTGTAAGTCGTCGTGTACTCAGCGCCCAAGGAGCCGGTAGAGTGTTCAACTGGCGACACAATAGACGTAGTAGTGGTCAAAGAACCCGCAGAAT